AATCAGCATACGACAACGTAAACATTTCTCTATTATACGGAACGCTAATAAAACTTGGAATATCTAAACAAATTTGAAATCTAATTTTTAATTTACTGAATAACAGAACAGTATATACAATAGATAATGAAAACAATATACATGGTCCATCACCTCACTAGGCCTTCCTCAGGGCTCTCCTCTAAGCCCACTATATATTATATAAATGAATTATATTCAATATTACCACAACACATACATTTACTCAGCTACGCAGACGATATGGCACTGATGATCAACGATAACAAAATAGATAAAAAGGCGGAAACATTAAACGAGTATCTGAAAAGAGTAAACGTTTGGATGAAAAGCCACAACTTTGAAATATCAGTGGAAAAAAGTTCAGCGATATGATTTACGAAAGGTAATCGAATGCGGTCCACACCAATAATTAAAATTAACAATGAAAATATAGAGCTTAAAAACCAAACGAAATGCTTAGGGGTCATACTACATAAAAATTTAAAATGGAGCGCACAGATAGACAATATGATAAAAAAGGCTAATAGGGGAATAAAACTTTTAAAAATTTTTGGGAAGGTTTCCTGGGGTGCCAACCCTGCAACCTTACACATGGCGTATAACGGACTAGTTAAATCCCATCTGGATTAGGGTAGCATACTATTAAGTTGCTGCAATCAAAAAGACCTCAATAAACTACAGAAGACGGCATCTCAAGGGCTCAGGATCATAACGGGTACCATGAAGTCAACACCAACACGTTACTAGCAGAAACCGCGGAAATTGACCTACACCACAGGCGGATCTGGTTATGCACTAAATTCCTAGCGAAAAAAATAGAATTCAATCCCACCCCTTAATCATAATATTAAAAAAACCGATATGAGTCAGGCCAAGACTATTGGAGGAATAGAGCGCCCACCATCACCATAGAAGCCCTTAACATTTTGGAGGAATACATTCCACTAATCCATTCGGGACGAGCCCTACCGTGCTTCGAGTTTGATTACACTACTCAAACTCGGGCAGTGAAAGTCATCCCCCTTAACATAAACAAAAAAGATCACAACATCGAGCTGCAATTTCTGCAAATTATGGAACAGTTCAGAGACACTCATACCCTTATATACACTGACGCATCTAAAGTGGACTATAAAGTGGGATATGGGGTACACATTCCTCAACTGGAACATAACTACACATCCAGACTCCCTGACTACTTAAATATCTGCGAAAAGAAAATCCAGAAAAGCCTAATATTAACAGACTCGCAAAGTGCTATAGCAGAAACAGCAAAACAAGGTGTAGATGCTAACTCAGAATATGGCTGCCTCACAACAAGAAAGCTAATTCACGAAGCTGCAGAAAAAGGATACAATATTGAACTGGCTTGGATCCCAGGACACTCAAACATTAGAGGAAATGAAACGGCAGACACCCTAGCTAACTTAGGGAGACAACTCAGAATCCCACAAGATACGAAACTTACTATACCCGATATACTAACTAAGGCCAAAACAAAAATAAAGGAGAAATTCACAACAATGTGGAAACGAACATTCATCAACAAAGGCAGGAGGTATAAGAAAATACAAGAAGAAATTCCGGTCAAACCATTCTACTCCAAAATCCCGTATATAAGCAGAAGACACCTAACAGCCATAATCAGAATGCGAACGGGACATGCAAGATATAAAGCTCACATGTTCAACATAGGAATGGAAGATGACCCCTTCTGTGATTGTGGACAATATGCAGAATTAAATCATATACTATTAGAATGCCCAATAAATCAAATATTAGTCAATGCCACCTTTAACATTCAATTAATAGTTGCAAATATCAACATGAAAGTCATATACCTATTAACCTACTTCATTCAGACAAATAAAATAATATTATAACTGTTTCAGATCCCCATCTTTTAAAACCCTGGGTGCTAATCCTTTTCGGAGGCAACATTTAGGGTGTGTGTAATGTACCTCTGTTGCCCGGGTACGAGAAAAGTCTATACCTGTGTTGTGCTATCTGTCTGACTAACCTCCCCACACCACTTTAGAAAGCAAAAGTAAAGGTTTTCATCAACCATAAATAGCAACACCTCAGCTCTAGAAACAATACAGCAGAAGATATAGATATATTTTACAGCATTTCTACACGTGAATTCGAGACAATACCCCCAGTACAACGGTGAAAAAGGTTTTAGGGCTCAGCACCAGCCGGTGTCATGCCAGTGGCCACAGATATTTTTTACAATCTTAAAATTATAGTATTTCGAATTGATATAGTGACTGCTGCCGAACGCCAGGACCTCTTTCATTTACATTCGACTTTCTCCGCCGAAATGATGTCTTGATTTTCATGTAGACGGCAAATAAAGATTGGAAGCTGGAAGGAGGCGTGGCTAAATTCCAACCAATGACGACAAAGAGCGACGATAGCTTTACCGGCGTACTTCCGTACGCTTGTTGAGAACTGCGAACGTGCGAACTAGTCTTAAGTCGTCGGTCGGTGCGACTGGTCGCTGCTGCGTCGAGGCCTTCGTGCAACGCTCTGCTTTTACTATACAGGGAAGCGTTTGTGGGCGATTTTACGCAGTGTCATTTGACCTAAAAGAGTGGAGTGTAATTGTGTGTGGAAATGTGACATAGTATATTGGATGGATATTGTGTCCGATCTTTCTGGGGGAATGTCTTGACAGCAAGCTAAGTAAGTTATGCATAGTCATATACAAAGAGTACTATAAAAGTCTTGTAATATGACTTAAAAAACGGACGCAGGAGGCGGCATGTTACCGCATGTTGAGACATGTCCATGAGTGCATAGTGGCCGCCAGCAGCACGTCTGTTGATTCAGTTGTTCATTCGTATTGACAGCGTAATGTGAGGACTTTGGCATCGTGGTCACGTAGTGAGATAAGTGCAGTTTTACGGTATATAATTTTATGCGTGATTTAAGCATATACCAGTGCTTAGAATAAATGATGCTTGCAATAAAGAATGACTGTCCTTATCCTACGACTATATTTAGGTGGTACAGAGAATTAGAAAGGGGCAATTTCACTCTGGAGGGCGCTGAGAGGGAAGAAAGTCCGCAAACGTCAGTAACAGAGGAAAACATTACTGCTGTGAGAAAAAAGCTTGACGAAGACCGGAGAGTGACATACCAACAGATAGAGGAGACCTTCACCTTCATGCACCAGTTATTCATTCAATTCTGCATGACCATTTGCACGTAAGGAAACGTTGTTCTCTATGGGTACCACATCTGACGGAAGAGCAGAAGACTCGCCGAAAGCTGCTGAAAATGTTTGATAATCAATATATTGATGAAGTTTTACGGAATATTTACAGCCAGATTCGGAGCAAAAGCTTCTAAAAACGATATTCATGCAACAAGACATTCAGGGTCATATTTGGGAAACTAACATTCTTATACTTCATGCTCTTGAAGATGATTACAGGTTGGTACATGCAGAATGAACATCAATTGAATTGATAATTTGAATAATGAAGAGGTATCTTTTACATAATCTTGAGCTTATTTATTCTTCATGTTCCGCCGGCTTCTTATACCCGATAAGTCAAGCTTATCAGGAAATATAACTTCTGAAACCTATTGCAAAAAGCAGCGGCGCCATAGGAGGAAGCTTTCACGAATTTTTATTTTTTGAACAAATCAGAAAGATGTCAGTGAACTACGAGGGGCATTTTTTAAGTACGAACCAATTGCCCATCGTGCCCGCGCAACCTGTATCGTGACGACCGTTCAATCTCACACAAGCTTGACCAGTCTCTAACTACACCGCTATAAAAAACTCATGATCCATTAATTTGGTTGGAGTATGTCAATCAGATCTGCCCATCAAGGATATTCAACCAAATTGGGTCACAGAGAGGGAGAGTGGATCGAGTATTTTTTATTACGAGTGGTCTTGATTTCCTTTATACGTATAGGCTCCATGGTCCATGCTGTGGCTAAACTCGCTACCTAGACTTGTCAAGTCGATTTAACGGGTACCTGTTTGAATTTTTAGTCTAGTGCCTAGTCTAGTACCATTTTCCAAGCTTTTATTTGAATTGTAACTCAAACAGTTACCTGTAATACCGCCGAATCCATGCGACATCTCTAGACGCCAGGTTACATTAGCTTCAACTAATTATACGTAGAGTGCCCAGTGTCGCCACACATTGCTTTTTAGCAGGAGATGTCCTGTATTCACGGTTTTCACACCCGAAAATAGTGTTGCCAATTAGAAAGGAAACATGTAATGCTTATATTTTGAAAATGGCTCCATTTTTTAACGATTACTTGCTGCTTATATGTTCGTGACAAGGGGAGTTAATTAATATAGGTTTGAAAGATTCTTCAGTTAATGCCTTAAAACGTAACTCCTGACTAAACGTTGAACGTCTGAACAATTTCTTAGTTCTCTTGTTCTCTGATTCGTTGCGTACCGAGCTTCACTACAATCGTATCACACTTTCAGTGTATATGTTTTGTGGTTTCAAATTTATGTTCTGTGATTTGTGAAGTTTGTCACTGACCATTAGTGATGCAAAGTTTCGTTACTGTTTAGGACTTGCAAGGACTCGTTACTTTCGAACTTTGGACTCGTTAGTTTAGTTACTATTTGGACATTTCGTTTAGAACCTACATTCTATATATTATATCAAATTATTACTTTGGGATTGATCCAATTATTATTTTTTGTCTAATGCCTTGCCTATTATTTTTTTTGATATTTGATACGTAGAAGGTACTTATATTTTAAACTCGTCGTTGTGTGACGTCTGGTTCGTTGGCTGTACGCTGTAAATAGTATTTAACAAGTGGCATAACCAGATGGGGACCGTGGAGGAACCACTCTCCTCACTCTTTACTTTAGCTGAGTAGCGTCCCCTGCCCTAACAGTCTGGTTACTCCCCTGCCCTACTTAACAGTCTGGTTACTCCACTGTAAATGGTGTTCAACAAAATACTTATAATAATAAAACATACCTGAAACTAAGTTCCTTTTGCACCTAGGCATATTTTCGTCTTCCACCCGCCGTTTTGCCCTTTCTCCTTCCAATGAAAGAGTCGGATGTTTAGTTTTCAAATGCTTCCTTAAATTGCTAATGTTTCCATTTTTATGCGAATAAATATTTTTACAAAGATTAGACTTTGCATTAGCTTCCGATATATTGGTGAAATGCATCCAAATAACACTTCTTTTTTGAGATTGCGATTCTCCTGAACCGGACGCGGATGATTCCATATTTTTGTACAAATAATTATATTATTGCTCGAGCTTGTACGGCAACGTCCAAACCAGTAACAACCCGCCAACCGGTAGCTCTCAAAGTCAAATGAAAGGTGTACAGGTGTACACAAACATTGCCAACCTAAAGCTCCGCAGTCCGCAACTCTTTTGATAGAAGAGTATCTAAAGTTGCCTAAGCCTAACGATATTCGCATCATTTCATTTCCACCCAGTTTACATCCAAGAACCAAGTCACTTGCTACTGGCGCTGGCAGTACTGGCTACATTAGATTCCAGTAACGTTTGTATCTAAAGTAATGTATAGTGTAGTAACTAACAGTAATTAAAAAGTATACATAGAAAAAGACCGTATCGCATTCAAAGTAACGAATTCAAATAAAAAGTAACGAGTCTTTTCAAAAAGTAGGACTCGTTACATTTAGTTACTCATTTGTAACGATTATTTTGTAAGCGTTACTTAATTATTTTACATCACTACTGACCATCGCTTCAATTTTTACTTTATCATTATATGTATAAATGTTGTGTGCTTTATATGGGACTTTATGTCATTTTTCATGGGGGAGTTCCAAGTACTGAGTATTTATTCTAAATTCTAAGTATATGATAAGAAGTAATAAAAGCTATTTATTGGGTTTCCGGAGGTGAAATGAGTCGCCACGAAGGTACGGACATGGACTCTTATTTCGAAAAATACACTCGTCACTGCAAAATGCATGATAAAATTTTAGGTGTTAGCTGTGATGCTTGTCTGAAAGGCCACTTTAGGGGCCGTAGATATAAATGTCTGGTGTGCTTCGACTACGACCTATGTGCTGCATGTTATGAAGAAGGGGCAACAAATTCCAGGCACACTACTGACCACCCAATGCAGTGTATATTGACTAGGTCCGATTTTGGTAAGGTTCCTACAATTCCCAGTGATTCATCTCTAAGCCAGTTTTTTTTTTACAGAATTGTATTATGGAGGAGAGGCTCTGACTAGCCTAGAGCTTCCACAATCATACACATGCCCTTATTGTTCTAGAATGGGGTTCACAGATGTTACTTTACAAGAACATGTTACTTCTGATCATCAAGATACAAATTTCGAAGTTGTAAGTAGTTGGCTGTGATTAGCTGTGAAAAACAATTGAATTGTTTGAAAGATCACATTTCTGACATTTGCAAGTGTATATTGTTATAGCTCTTGCTTTAATTCTATCTGAAAATTAATTTTCCAGGTTTGTCCTCTGTGTGCAGCAATGCCTGGTGGTGACCCCAACTTAATGACTGAAGATTTTGCTGGTCATTTGACTCTCGAGCATCGTACTGGCCCAAGGGATCTGATATCCTTTTTAGATGAACCTGTAGGATCTAGACATACTGTTAGAAGAATACCTCATAACAGCAACCATGCTACTACTCATTTAAGCCGAGGAGGGACTGCATTGAGACCTAGAAGAAGCAATATGCATTTTAGGTAAGATAGATTAATGATTTTGCTGAACCTCAGTTACTTAACCTACATTACTTTTAGGGCCATATTTTCAGTCATTCTACATTTGTAGGACACCTTTATGACATCCTTGATTTTCATATTTCTTAGTCTTTTCTTCTGAAAGGTTGGGGTATTTCTAGATTTCTACTATTCCGTGTAAGTGTCAGCGCTCTCCTATTGTGAGGTTATATTTTCTTTTTGAATTGTCGGAAATTTCAGGCTGATGTAACAGATGATATAAATCAAAAGCATGAACAGTTTGATGCAAATAGATATTTGTAACATATCCCCAAAATAGAGTGCTGACCCGGAACACTTGAAAACTAAGAAAATTGATGAGGCCATAAAGGCATCCTGTAGGAGTGACTGACAATAGGACCCTAAAAATTCTTGTACAGTTATTTCTTTCATGTAATGAAAGAAATGTGGTTATAATTATTGTTACTATATTTTGCACTTTTACTTTTTGAGTAAGAAACATAATTAAAGTCGCAACTAAGGGGACAAGGGGTCAATATATCTTTGTTTTTTGCTGGTATAGTACATGTGAAAAATTACCTTCCAATAAATGTACCAAAAAATCCATGATTCATTTTAAATAGATATGGTAATGTTAATATTTTGCACCAGAAGCAATTTTTTGGGTTTACATCAGTTGCTAGTGTAACTATTAGTGGTTGGTCTGTATGGATTCCTTGTGTTTTCTATCCTCTTGTGGTGTTTTTTGAGTCTTTTGAGTATATATCTCCAAGAAAAAGGTAAAAAACGGGAACCTGTCTTATACCATACTAATTTTACATAATACACATATGGTGGTTTGCACCGGTTCGGGTTAAAGTGAGGGTTAGCGCACCATCATAGTTATCTCGGAGTTAAGGCCTAACTCTGCGATAAATTTACCTCTCACTTGACCTAGGTGTTAAGGCAGGTAGCACCATGAAAATGTAGAGTAATACCTGCGCATCGCAATGCGTACTGACAATGAAAAAGGGGTTCAGACTTAATTGTCAAATGACGTTCTTTTAACGCTTACGGAACTAAATTTGTGACTGCTAAAACTCTCTAATATGGGTTCTTGTAACTGTTTGTTGGGCTGTTTAGATTTCATTCCAGAGGAATAAGGTCATCCTGGTCGAATTCTTCATTAATATTTTCAAATTCCCAACTTCCAATCAGAATTACAAATATATGTATATATATATATATATATATACTAAGTGACATATAAATCCGAACACCCAGTTTAAATGGTTTTATTTTAATAAAAGTTGGTGAATGTATTTATCTTACTGTAAATAACAAGTGAAAACATTTTCAGCCTTATCAGTTGGACATTCCGGTTTTTATACTGCTTTTTTTTAATTCACTAATGCTCTAAAAATGAATATTTCAGCAGCAGTAAAAAATTCAACGTTGGCGGATTTTGGTTCTTGACATCCTTTACGATCGGTTACGATGCCTAGAGTACGGAGACCTGTACGATTTCGTCAACTTAGTGAGTTTGATAGGGGCCGTATAGTGGGACTTCGGGAAGCTGGACTTTCTTTTCGGGCAATTGCAGTTAGAGTGCAAAGAAGTGTAGACACTGTGGTTAGGTGTTGTCAGGCGTGGCTTCGAGAAGGCCGTACGCAAAGAGCAAGGGGCACTGGATGCCGCCGTAGAACAACAGACCGTGAAGATCGCCGCCTAAGATTATTGGCCTTAAGGGACCGTTTCTCCACTACCAGGTCCATTGCAAATGAATGGTTTGCAGAACACGGAAGACCTATTGGCATGCGAAATGTTTATCGACGAATGAGATGTTTTGGCTTGTTTTCATACCGGCCACACTGGGTCCTCCCTTTAACTCGAGAACACCGACGTAATCGCCTTGACAACGGTCACTCTGGGATCAGGAATGGAACAGTATTGTCTTTAGTGACGAGTCTCGATTTTGTTTAGGCATGCACGATGGTCGTGCCAGGGTTAGAAGGCGCCGTGGTGAAAGGAGGAATCCACAGTTTTTTGTTGAAAGACATGTTCATCACACTGTTGGAGTTATGGTTTGGGGTGCTATAGCTTATGGTTCCAGGTCACCTTTAATCTTCATCAGAGGTAACATGAACGCGCAGCGGTATATCCACGAAGTTCTAGAACCCCATCTTTTACCCTATCTTGACACGCTGGCAGATCCAACTTTCCAACAAGATAATGCCCGACCACATGTTGCAAGAGTCACAATAGACTTCTTTCAACATAATGATGTCACATTGTTACCATGGCCACCAAGATCTCCCGACTTATCCCCAATTGAGCACGTGTGGGATATGATGGGTAGGAGATTGCTCAATATGCAACGTCCTCCTCAGACTCTAGAAGCACTTCGAGAGGAGTTGGTGGTTGCCTGGAATGAGATACCACAGGGGGACATTGACCACCTGATCAGAAGCATGCCTAGGCGCGTTGGAGAATGCGTAGCACGTCAGGGTGCATCCACACATTATTAAAGGTCAAAGGGCTTTAAAGCAGTGCAATCATGTTGAAATTTTCATCATTTACTTATTATGCTTCATGAAGTACTTATACAAAATTTTATTAAAATAAAACCATTTAAACTGGGTGTTCGGATTTATATGTCACTTAGTATAGTATTCATAGTTAATTGCCTTAACTGTTAGGAGAAAATATCCTTTAATTTCTTTGGGTAGAAGGCAAAGTATTGCAATATATATATATATATATTTATATTTGTGATTCTGTTTGGAAGTTGGGAATTTGAAAATACTTGATTCAGCCAAATCAAACACAAACGATAACCGGAAAAATAGCAAAGAAATGAATACAAAACACAAGTACTAAAATGTCAAAATTTACGCCAATCAATAAATGTATTAATTCTATGAAATATCCCTATATTCCAAGCTTGCCAACATGACCAAACCCCAGAGTTAAACCTTAACGGTGCAAAGCTACTCGAATTTAACCTGGTGTTACCTCTATCTCTGAGTTAAGTAACCCTCACCTTTAACCCAAAGCGGTGCAAACCACCGATAGGTAGACATTTCATTGGAAGGGACAAAAAGACATCCAACATAAGTGAGAGTCCAGTATGTGTTAATTTAAGCATTTTTCTCTTATCTTTCATGCAAAAACAAAGGATGGACATGCAATTTGGGTAGGCAAATTGTATATGTGTTTCTAAAAAATTGGGGACAAATATCAGAAACAAAATATTTTGATGCCTAAAGCTGATAGTGGATCAGACCCCGGACTTTTTAGTGTTTTTTAGATAAGCCAATAGCTGTAATTTTTTTTTTGTTAATTTAAAGAGAATTAGGGAAGAATTCGCTGACTAGGTATTTTTTCTGCATGCAAATTGATACAATTGTATTACTCATATAATTTTTTTTTATTGGGCCTATCTTTATCATGCAAAGTTACAAAGTTACTGTGTTGTTCAAAGTGGTACATACTATGATGAAGGTAGGCATAAAAATAATGTTCTTTAAAGATATTTGCTTTAGTGTTTTTAGTTCTGGCGGATTATCTTCTTTGTCACCGTCATCCAGGGAATCTGTTGATCCTATTGCTGAACTGCTATCCCAACTGTCAGGTAAGAACAACTGAATTTTGAATTGAAGGCGCAGCTTATCCTCCAAAATGGAATTTTGGAGAGCTTTAAATTGGTGATAAAGGCCTTTGGATCCAGTTTGCGAAAAATAGGCCATTTTCATGATACTGGCCATTTGCAAAATCTCAAATTTGTAGGTCGAACGGTTTGATCTGGTGATGCGTTCTGTTTCATGGGTCGGAAAAAAGTGAATTTCAGCCTTTTTCACAACATTTCAATTCTCCGTCATTGGAAAGTATGTGTGTATTCTGAATTAGGATTGTCTGCAGAATTCAAAAATGATCTTCAGATTGTGATCTGTTAACTCGTTCTGCAGATATTTCGGTTGAGAGTAAAAGTTTTTTCGAAAATATTTGTTTTCTTGAGCTGATAATCCGAATGCTTTCTGAAACAAAAAACTCTCTTTTTTTTTAAAGGAAAAGGATCAGCCTATCGCTCCATATAATTTAAATTTTATTATTGGGCCTCTAAACTGGTCGAGTAGGGATTTAAAACCAATTTTTAATATTTTCGCCGAATATTTACCACTTTCATCATACTGGCAAAATATATTGTAGATTAGATCTAATTACAGAGGTAACCATCTTGATTAACGTTCAATGCGTAACGCAGCTTTTAAGATATATTAGCAAAAAAATATAATATAAATACCATCCACACGCAGTTGACAAAATTTGGCAGCTCTCTGGTTTTGAGTTAATTGGGAAAAAGTATAATTTTGCAAATTTTCGATATTATATTTTCCTTCAAATAACTCAAAATCGCAAAATGTCAGCCAAATTCTTTTCTCATTTAACCGACATTGTAGCTGTAACCATTTTTGAAAATCCATTCATCATCTTGGACACACTGGTTTTTTGCATATACAGTAATGGACAAAAGTATATAGACAAATATGAATATTTACCTAAATACCTGTAGAAAACGAATTCATACTTCATTGCTCCATAAACAAATGCGTTATTAGTAGAAAAACTAAATTCCTTGTTTTTACATTATCTGCAATGAACACAATACAAGTCTGAATATAAGCACTTTTTTATGAGGGACAAAAATATGTAGACAAATTCTTTTCAACATTAGTACAGTTTCGTGTCAGAAGAGGATTAGTTTGTGTTCATCAAGTATTGTGGAATAAGTTGAGTGATTTTAAGACCATGCCGCGTGGTCCAAAAATTTCTTTCGATGTGAAAACTAAGATCATTGAATTATACAAAGATGGTCAATGTCAAGTCAACATTGCCAAAAATTTGAAGCTGAAGCGCAAAGCAGTTTGGGCAATATTGAACAGATATAAACAAAAAGGTATCTTGGAAGCCTCTAAGAGAAGTGGTCGGCCTAGAAAACTAAATGCTAGATTAGTTAGATTAATAATAGTAATTTCGTCCAAAGATCCGTTTAACACCCCAAGACAAATAAAAGCCGAAATCGAGGCAAACGGAATTGTCAGTGTTTCTACGAAAACTGTAATTAAAAGATTAAATGATTTGAAGTTATTTGCACGTCGCCCGAATAAGAAGCCGCTAATCTCGAGGAAAAACCGTAAGGACCGATTACAATTTGCACGGATGCATCTTGATTGGAGCATCTACGAATGGAAGAGGGTATGTTTCAGTGACGAATCCAAGTTCAATATGTTTGGATCAAATGGTCGTCCTAGTCTACAAAGATTGAACCCCAAGTATTCTTTGCCCACTGTCAAACATGGAGGCGGGTCTGTTATGGTTTGGGGGTGCTTTTCGGGGTTTGGGATGAGACCTTTACATAGAATAGATGGCATTATGGATAAGTTTGTATACACAGACATACTAAAGCATGTCATGTTACCCTATATGGAAGACAATATGCCCTTAAGATCAATCTTCCAGCAAGATAATGACCCGAAGCATACTTCAAATCTCGCAAAGAAATTCTTTCTGGATGAAAAATACCAGTTCTCAAATGGCCTTCACAGTCTCCCGATATAAACACCATTGAAAATCTATGGGAATACTTAGATAAGCAAATACGAGATAAAAATTATTCAAACAAGGATGAACTGTTTGCCGCTTTAGAGCAAGTGGAGACAGATTGATGAATCTTATATCAAGAAACTTCTACAATCTATGCCGAAACGATGCCAGGCGGTGATTGATAATAATGGTTATGCTACAAAATATTAACACAAACATGGTTGGTTTTCTCTAATTCAATGAACTTTGCTTCTTTTTTCTATAATTGTTTTGCTTTGTCTATATATTTTTGTCCTTCATAGTTCCAGTTTTTTTCAATTAATTTTTTATTGAAGGGAGTCTAATGAATTGATTTATGTATAAGTGTTATGCTATAACGAATTATGTATACAGGTTAATGTATTAATAAAACAAGTTAAAAAAGAAATTCAGCACAATATTAATTTGTCTATATACTATTGTCCATTACTGTATCTCTTAAAGGCTGTGGTAGCCAATCAGCATAAAGCAATGTATTCATCCATTCCGTGACATAGCTAACATCTTTGAAAAGCTCAATCTCCAATAATGTCCATGAAACGGTAAATTTTAGGCGAAAATTGATTGGCAAGTTCTGTTCAGCCAATTCATAGGCGCGAAAACAAAATTCAACTCATATAAAATGATATATTGATCCTTAATTTTTTTGAAAGAATTTGACATTGTGTATTTTTTGGGCAACCTCGAATTATTTGAAACTTCGATCGCGTCTTCAGATCGAAACTTAGATCCAAATGCCTATCCGGCCCGAGTACAAAATTTCATTTATGTAGTGGGTTAGGCTGATCCATATCCTTTGCAAAAATTTTTTTTGTTCATTTTTCGTTTCTGAAGGCATTCGAATGTGAGCCCCTATAACCTAGTGAAACTTTCGAAAAAATCTATTTTGATCGAAACATCTGCTGAACGAATTATCGTATCGGAATTTTAAGGTCAGTTTTGACTACGTTCGACTTGGGAGTGGACTTGAATAGGGAGAAAAAGGAAAAGATGCCAAAACGTTAAAATTCACATTTGTGCCGAACCTTCAGACTTTGAGCGCGTCTCTAGACCGAATCGATCTACTTGGGACCCTGAAATTTCACAAACCCTCAAGCCTACATGGTCTCCCCAGGAAAAAATTTTGAGCCTAATATAATGTTTACTATTTTTATTCAAGCACCTCATTTTCGAATGCTTTTTGAAGCTTAGTGTAATTTCTTCTTCTTCTTTTTAAGGTGTTCGTCGTTCAGCGAGCAACACTAACAGCAGTACTCCAACGCAGCTTCAACAGCTCCAAATGCAGCTCCAACTAGAACGTCAGCAGGTCAATGCTGCCAGACAGCAGCTGGAGAGATTCCCTAGGAGACAGGCCGCCAATCAGACCCTCAGAGAGCCGAGTATCTCCAACTGTGGTACTTCCACTATGATGTTGAATGCTTCTCCTGTCATGGTTGCGCCTTCTGCCAATGCACCTGCTCAGCCATCTTACTCTTCACAGTTTCTCTTAACTAGTAAGTTTATGCTACTTGCTGGTCTTTTTTATTCAATTCCATTCGTTTTATTTCTCTCAGATATATAAAGATATGGGAAATAGTTACAATACAATTACAGAAATAAAATACAGTGAACTCTTCTTTGGACGGACATCAACGGGACCGATTGAAAGTGTCCGTTCAAGAGCGATGTCCGTATAAAAGAAATACAACAAAAATCGGGTGTTTAATGAAAACTGAATATAGTAAAGAAGCTGGGACATTTAAAACATATGTATAAAAATGTTTTTAAAATATACAAAAAAAATTTAAACTTGAGAAAAAAAAGGTTTGTTACCTTATGATATACAGGGTGTTCCTCAATGATATGCGAATATTTAAGGGTGTGAATCTACATGAAAAATTAATGTTAGTTTGCTTTATAAGCTATGGTCAAAAAATGTTTCCTTACAAAAACTCGGGGTGTTGAAGTTTTAGGAAAAAAAAATGGAAATTAATTAATATTTTCAGAACCGCTTCAGATATTTCACTGATATTTAGTACGTAGTGAAAGTTAATAAAGTTGCATATTTTTCAATGCAAAAATAATTTTTAGCTTTGACAGTGGCGTGCGTACGGGTATTGACTTCTATATTTTTTAAGAAAAAAATGGTACGCCAATGGTTTTTGCCATATAAAAATTATTTTTGAATTCACCGTTCAATTTAAAACAAATAATCTCTCTTGAATTGTTTTCCGTCGATGCGCCATTTTTGAGTAAAAGAATAAAAACCTTTCTATTGTCTAATTTGCAAAATTATTATTAATTAAATTGGAAAAATTAAACACATTAGGGGTAATGAACAACAACAACTGACAACATAAACATAACATTAAAACCAACGAAATGATTACAAAAATTATTGAAAATGGCCCACTTCACTTAGTATACATGCTTCCACCCTCCTTCTCATGGAATTGCGCACTCGTGAAATTTCCTTGGAGTGTTTTTCATTCTATCACAAGCTGCATTTATTATTTCTCTTGATTCCTCTACAGTCATAATGGAACTTGTGTACACTAGTGTCTTAAGATAGCCCCACAAAAAGAAATCTAAACTGTTGAGGTCTGGGGACCTTGGTGGCCCTTCTTGGGGCCCACCGCTTCCAATCTAACGATTTGGATAAACAGTTTGTAAATAATTACGAACCGCTACACTGAAATGCGCTGATGCACCATCATGCGTGTATCACATATTGTTTTTTATTACTAACGGAACATCATCAAGCATCAAAGGCAACTGTTGTTGAAGAAAATTGAGGTAAGTCTGTCCGTCAAGTCGTCCCGGCAAGACAGAATGGGCCAATAAAGTGGTTGCCAATAATTCCTGCCCATACGTTAACCGAAAATTGGTGTTGGAAATGGGTTTCGGTTACAGCATAGGGATTTTATTCTGCCCACAAATGATTATTGTGGAAATTCTGAATGGCATTTCGAGAAAAATTAGCTTCGTCCGTGATCAGAATCATTGATTCAAATTGCGGATTTTATGTAATACTTTGAAGATACCACTGACACGAGGTCACACGCCTTGAAAAATCAATGGGAAGTAATGCCTGTACTCCTAAAATATGGTAAGAGTATAACAAAAAAATTCACTAAAATTCTCCAAACAATTTGATGGCAAATATTTAAGTGTCTAGCGATCTTCCTCGTACTCATCTCACGATGTTCTTCGACTTCGTGCAGCACTGTTTCCTCAATTTCAGGTGTTCTCACACTTAGAGGTCTACCTTCAGATGTTCCCTTTCGGACAGAACCAGTTTCAACAAGACGCCGATGAATATTAGAAAAGGTTCGACTATCTGGCAAAGTACGATCGGGATATCTCTGGTGATGAATCTGTCTGGCTTGCTCACCATTACCGTCGGCAAGGCCATATACGTGATGCATTTCCGCCATTTCTGCATTTGAATAATTCACCATTAATAACAAGATTGTAAAAACTAAATAATGACAGAGATGTTACAGCAAACAGATTTGAATAACAGAGACTTGTCACATGTGTCATATTCCAGAGCAACTAGATATTTATTGCTAAATTGCATTCTCCAATATAACATTAATTTTCTCGGACAATAGAACGGTTTTTATTATTTTACTCAAAAATTGCGCATCAAAGGAAAACAATTCAAGAGAGATCATGTGTTTTAAATTGAACGGGGAACTCAAAAATAATTTTTTATTTGGCAAAAAACCATTTTCGTACCATTTTTTTCTTAAAAAATATCGAAGTCAATACCCGCACACACGCCACTGTTAAAGCAAAAAATTATTTTTGCATTGAAAAATATGCAACTTTATTAACTTTCACTACGTACTAAAGATCAGTGAAATATCTGAAGCAGTTCTGAAAATATTAATTAATTTCCACTTTTTCTTAAAACTTCAACACCCCCAGTTTTTGTAAAGAAACATTTTTGGACCATAGTTTATAAAGCAAACTAACATTAATTTTTCATGTAGATTCGCATATCATTAAGAAACACCCTGTATACAAAGTGTGTACATACATATGTATAATGAAATATGTATTTTAAATCAAACGATTTAGAAATAACTTTTTTTCAAATAAATTTCATTGAGGACTGCACATTACAAAATTATAAGTTACAACTAACAAGTCACTATTACGGAGTCTAACCGGGTATTGAACATACTCCAAATGCCAGGGAGACTGTTTATACAATTTGAGATGCTGACCAATCACCAGCAGAAAATAGACAATAACAAGGAACAATGGAAAAACAATAGACTTATAGAGAAATAAATACGCTAGGTAAGCAACTGATTAACGAGAAGTTGCTACCTTATGCTGACGCACCACCTGGTGCAACATTGTATGCTACCTTAATAACTGCGTAGTTACCAAGGGCATATCAACTCCTCCATATTACAAAACGTTGTTGCTATGCGACAAATGGACAAGTTTACCATTTTTTAGGAAAAATGAAACAAGATGGTGAAAAAATTATTAATTTATCTCCAAAAACAAGCCCATCAAAGTTGCGCCCCGCGAGAATATTTTTATTCCGTCTGTACGTTATGTGTGACGTCACACGTCAGACTTCAGTATCCAGTTGCAACGCCCGCGGCCGATTACTGGACCCGAGCCGACTCAATCTCCTAAACACATGCATAGGCACATATACAGAGGGACACATAGTAGGCTAAACGTCTTCCGCCCCAATTTGTTTAATTAGTTGACTGCATATACTATCGGTTATGAGCGAAACAAGAAAAAAAGGTTGTTATAAATACTGTACCGTTCCAAAATGTACGAGCACAACAATTACAACCCCTAATAAACATTTTTTGTAGGTACCTTCACATGCGGCGTCCATAATGGTATGAACTTACGCTGTACTGAATAGTTATCAAGTGTAAACCACGTGTCCGAGCGCGCAGGTGTGTCTTATGAATTGTCTATAGACTAATGACTAAACGCACAGACGCTGTCGAACACCTACGCGACGAGACGCTGTGCACTAGAGAAGTGTGACGTCAGACGCGAACGAACGGCAGCAATGATTTCGTGCTATAATGCGCCAAATTTAAGTATCAATTTCTGTCATTTATTGACCGATTTCAATAATTTTTTCACTGGCTGTTTATATTTAGTCTATATTTTGCTGCTATGTCATTACTTATGCGATTCTGCATATCACGAAACTTCTCCATTTTGACCGAAATAGAAAATATTACAAAACTGAAAAAATACAAACATTGAAAAACTTAAAATGTACAAAATTGCAAAAATTGTAAACATTGTGAATTGTAAAAAACAAAGTTCTAATATAATAAAATATTAAAATTGCAAAAATAAAAATCAGAAAATACAGATTCTGCAATATAAAATTATGCGATACAAAACCGATGAAAAAGAACATCTAAATATAATAGCAAAAGCTGGAACAATTGAAACGTTAAAATACAGACGAACAAACGTACAGAAAATAATGTGGAAAATATAAAATGTTCAAACAGCAAAAACACTTCACTCACATTCACTGCAGTTCTATATCGTATTCGTATGGCTGGACAGTTGGTCTTCTTCGAGAAAAAAGTATCGGAATGTACCTGACTTTTCACATTCCTGGAGGTGGGCCATCGGCTGGATAATTGGGAGCGCAGATACTGAGCAGACGTCGTTTTCGGCACTTGCAGAACAGTTAGAGAGCTATGGCAGCTAATACAGCAAGAATTTAAAAAATCAGATATTATGTTTTTAGATGTTGTGTGAAACGTACAGCACGAAAAACCATGTCACTCATTTCCGTCGGTCTATCTGTCGGCCTTCCTGTTTGGTCCTGCGCCCGTCGCTAATGGCGAAAGTACCACTCATATTTTGATGAACTTTTACTCAAGGTGAATATGCCAATGACGAAAAAGCTTTGTAGGTTTTAAAAATCGGCTTTTTGGCGGCGGTGCTGGGGACAATAAATTCGAAAAAAATATAGATTGCTCAAACTTTGTTTTTTGGTACATTTCTGGAGTCTCCTGATGATTTTTGGATAAATTTCTGTAGGGCTGATAAATCACATTTTGTGCACCTATTAGTACGTATTTCACATACCTTAGGTTTCCACGTACATTGACCTTTAAAGTATTTAAAATCGCGACACGCAGTCAGTCAGGACTCAACTTCGCTAGAATGGCGAGGCTCAGGTCTAAGGAATGTAGAGGTGCACAAGGGCCCGTCTAAGAGGCCTATGCGCTGGCTCCTTTTGGTGGCCGGTATGCCTCTAATTTCATGTTTCATTCATTCATTGCCGAACATAATCCTTGATGAACTAATGACAGCGTTGCATGGGAACTGCAGAGTCAACCTACTTGAATCCATTTTTCATAAAACGTTTTACTCTAGGTACCTGAAAATGATTCACTACTTGTTAAATATCGTCCTTGTTTATGAATTCTTTTCTAACGACAAAAACAGGTGATAGTCAGTGGGTGCTAGATCTGAAGAGTATGAGGAA